GGTGCCAAACACCATCCTATACCAAGCCAAACACTGTCTCAACTCAAATAATTCTGATGAAGAATGAATGAAATGAGAGCATTACTGGCATGCCCAGAAGCCAGGCTGCCTGTACCTTAATGGCCATGTGAACACGGGGACATTACCTTACCTCTCATTCTCCCAATGTATAAAAGCGAATAATAATTACACCAACAACATAGGGATGATGTGGGGATTGAATAAGTGACAGTGCTTCATACACAGTACCAAGTTCAATGAGTACTAAATCTATTGTTATTATAGTCACTTGTAATCATAGGCTTAGGACTTTTGATTATAAGGTGCTTCTTTTTACTTATTTTTGGTAGTTTCAGAGTAGTTAAAATGTTGATATTTCAGTGTAACTAGTTTTCATTTTGTTCTTCTTCTGCTCAAATAATGCAGAAATTCTCATCCATTGCTAGTGGGAATGTCAGTTTGGGATACAGCCATTTTGGAAAAAAGCTTGACGGCTTTTTTATTAAAGTTAAAGATAGATATTTACTTAATAGTACTACACCATTGTCCCATTTCTTAGTTTTGACAAACATTCTATGAAATTCTACGATGTTAACAAGATAAATTAGATAAGGTCTATGCCAGAATGCTCTGTACTATCTTTATAAATTTTCTGTAAATATAAAATTCTTCCTAACTTAAAAAACTATTAAGTTGTGTTTTAATTAAAAGAAGAATTTCTACTTCCAGTCATGATGAAGTAACAGGGATAGAGTAAACAAAATTTACCTGACTGCTATTAACAGTAAGAAAACCAGATGAAATACAATTATGCATCGTTTAATGACTAGGATACATTCTAAGAAATGTATTGTTAGGTGATTTTGTCATTGTGCACACATCACACGGGTGTACTCACAAACCCAGATGGTACAGCACACTACACAGCTAAACTATATAGGGACACCCTATTGTTCCTCAGCTACCCTATACAGCATGTTATTGTATTGGATGCTGTAGACAACTGTAACACCATAGTAAGCATTTGTGTATCTAAATATATTTAAACATCAAAAAGGTATAGAAAAATACAGTACTACGCATTACATGTATAATCTTAAGGGACTGCTGTCAAATATGCGGCCCCTCACTGACCAAAGCAGCACTATGCTGCACATTGACTGTTTATGAACCAGTTATTTTCAGGCATTAACAACAGGCAGGTAGGACTATGTTCCCTAAGAGAAGGGAAACAAGTGAGGTAAGCCATACAGTCTTCCTAGCTTTCTGTTTGGATGCAAATTCCTGACTATAGAACAGGAAGGAGACCCCAAAGTACAGAAGTCTCTCTGAGTTACATAAATATTTCAGATAAGGGAAGTTGAGGCAGCTGGAAGTTGTGGGGTAGAGTTCTAGAAAAGAGGAAGTTCCTCCCCTCAAAATAAAATAAATTAAGAACCTTCAAAAATGTAAATAAGAGATTCCTTAACTCTTGGGTAAATTCTAAAATACACACACATAAAAGAAACTATGCAAAAATCAACTTAAAGGCTATTAGTTGAACAGTCCACAAAGCTGACACAGGGTTGAGAGGCATTCAAATCCTGAGAGGATTTGTGCCAAATCCTTGTTGATAAGATATTCAAAAGAGATCCTGGAAAGTTCAGACCTTAGAAATAGGGTTACCAACTTTTAGCTTAGAGGTTATTCTAGACCAGTGGTTCTCAACCTTCCTAATGCCATGGCCCTTTAATATAGACCTACAGGTTGAGAACCGCTATTCTAGACCCATCCTAACAAAGCATTAAAAAGCCGCCATACAAAGAGTAAACTAAACTGCAAATAATGGGAACTCAGAAAAGAGGAAAATAAAAAAAGAAGAAAACAAAAATCTAGACCTTAAACAATATAAACATTTATAAGCTCCATCACCGCATAAAAAATATTAGATGTGCCAAGAATCAGGAAAATATGACTCATAACTAGTCAACACAATAGACCCAGAATGACTGAGATGACAGGATTAGCAATCAAGGACATTACAACAGCTAGAACAACTTTATTCAGGTATTTAAATGAAAATATGAGCATTTTGAGAATTGAAAGATGTAAAGAAAAACTAAACACATCTTCTAGAGATGAAAAATACAATATGCAAAGAAAACTTTTACTGGGTAGGATTAACAATGGATTAGACACTGAACAAAAAGAAAATTACTGACCCTTATATATGGTGGGTGCCTACTGAGGCACATGGAGGAAAAAAGAATAAAGGTTCTTAGTAACTAGGGGACAGTATTAAACAGTCTAACAAATGTATAAGAGTCCAAAAAGTGAGGGCTAGGAATGAGTACACAACGAAATATCTGAAGAAATAGTATCAAAGTTTTTCCAAATTTGATAAAAATTTGACAACAAAATCTCAATGAACCTCAAGGATAAGGAAAAGAGAAACTACAAGAAGGTATATCAAAATCAAATTCCTGAAAACCAGTGTGAAAAATGAAAACTCTTCAAAGTAGCCCTAAGGGGAAAAAAAAAATTCTACACATAAAACAACAAATAGAATAAAAATAGGATGTCTCCTCAGAAACTATGTAAACCAGGGGATAACGAACATCATGAAAGTGCTGAAAGAAAGAAAGAAAAACCTGGTGCCGAAGAATTGTAATTCCAAGGGGGAAAAATTATTTAAAAATCTAAGAGGTAAACGTACAACAGAAAACTGTAAGATATTTGGAGAAAAAAGATGGAAGAAAAATCTTTGGGATCTGGGTTTGATAAAGAATTTTTAGACTTGACATCAAAAGTATGATAGAAAAAAGCAAAAAGCGATAAACTGGACCTCATCAAAATGTAAACCTTTTGCTCTGAAAAAAAAAAGAAGCTATATACTGGGAGAAAATATTTGTAAACAACAAATACAATGGAAGACTAGTTTCTAGAATATGTAAAGAACTTTTAAAACTCAGGAATAAAAAATACAATAAAAACATGAGCAATAAACATGGACAGATATTTTAACAAAGAAAAAATACAGGTGATAATTAATTAAGTACATGAAAATATGTTCAATATCATTAGCCATTATAGAAATACAAATGAAAACTACAATGCAGTAAAACCACACATCTCTCAAAATGACTAAATGAAAAATAGTAACAACACCAGATGCTGGTGAGATGTGAGGACACTGAACAATCACACACTGCCAGGAGAAATGTAAAATGGTATAGCAACCTGAAAAATTATTTGGCAGTTTTGTATTAAATAAAAATTCCGAGCAAAGTGGTAGCGTAAGGACTCCCAAAAAATTCTCTTCCATGAAATCACTGAGAATGGCAAAAATTTTCAGAAGCTGCATGTACAGAACTCTGGAAATGAACCAAAGTCCTGCAGTGATATAGAGAGTACTTATTCAGGAAAAAAAAAGAAAAATAGGTGAAAGTAAGAACAGTGGGCTGTGAATTTCATGATGTTTTTACTTGCCCTAAGTCCTATCCCCCACTTCCCTGCTCTGCAGAAACCTGAGAAGCCAATCGCCTACAAAGATTAAAGTATCCAAGTTGGGAGAACCAGGTTGGAACTCTCTCAAAGCATCATACCCAGAGAATTGTCATTATTTGACTTGTCTCTTGGGTCCCTGGAAGACCTCTAATGCAAGGCGGTCTTTATTTGATCAGACTAGGAGTTTGCCCAGCAAAAAAAAACCCCTTCCCCAACGTTTTAAGTTGAAACAGACTACAGGCAATTGTTGAACTTCACTGCTGCCTGAGACAGTTGGCGCAAACATATTCTTTAACATTATGGAAGTAATCACAAAAAGAACTATTAACAAAACAAATGAAGTATGGAAGATGTAAGGAAAGAGAGTTTTACTATGTATTTTAAATATATTGTCTGTCTGTTTATATCAAGGATCACGTAGCAATAAGGACAATAGTAATAGCTTTTCCCAGTTACCTGGACTACCCAGGATTCTTTGACAGAAAGCACTGTACTCAGAGAAAATGCATCTCTCCCTATCTTCATTGCCTTGAGATAAGATACTTGAAACTCAAATTTTAAGGGTAAAATACTAAACATACTATTGGTTTTAGCAGAATTATAGGTTCAGCTACATAAGCACCATGATCGTGATATCAAAAGAAATTAATTAAAATGGTATTTCCTGCTTTTTCAAATAATGTAGGAAAGACTTCATATTTCCATATTTCATTCTTTTTAAAAAAATTTGAATAAACAGACTCACAGTTCCACAAGGTTTGGAAGCTTCTGAGCAAGGTTTTCTGGCTGAAAATAAAAACTCAGAATTAAATTTTATTTTTGAAAAATGAACAAACATTTCTAATTAGCTTAAGCATGACGTATCTCTTTGAGGAATGTAAATTTTAAGAAATGCGAAAGTAATAAATCAGCACTCCTGCATTTTATGCTTTCATAGACAATACTCCAATTTAAATTTATCAATTTGAACACTTAAAATCAATATCCCTTAAAGAAACCAGAAACCTCATCTTGCATGCTCATGGAAACAGATGTGCAGACACAGACAAAGGGAAGAACACCATGTGGAAACAGGGCCAGAGACAGTAGCAATGTAGCGCTAAGCCAAGGAAGACTGCTGGCCTAGACAGAGTTAGGAAGGAGCCAACCCTGACCACACCTTGAGTTTGGACTTTTAGCCTCCATAGCGGTGAGAGAATAAATTTCTGTTGCTTTAAGATACCCAGTTTACAGTGATTTCTTACAGCAGCCCTAGCAAACTAATATACCCCTGCAAACTCCCAAGTCATGCTGAAGAAAAAGTAAAGGCAATCCCCAGGATTCCCAGGTACCAAGACCTATCCAAGTATTCCAAAAGAACAGAAGAAGCTAGGGCCCACGTGCTCCAAGGGAATGTCAGGCCAGGCCAAAAGTTCTGAGGATCTGAGTAGAAGTGTAGGGTGGCAGGGATAGGAAACTGACCTTTGGGTAGAGAGAGAAAGGAGACAAATCTATGTCCCTTATCCAGAGTCAAAGAAACCTAGAACAATTCTACTCACAGGTTGAAAACAGGCTGTGTAGGGAAGAAAGCTGCCTGTCAATAACTGAAAGGCAGCTGCATGCGTGCCTGTGCATGTGTGTAATCTCTCACACACAAGGTCCAAATTTACTCATACACACAAAGATATGAGTTATAAAACTGAAAGAGCACAGTGAGTCAGGAGTAAATATTTTTCCATTCTACATTCAAGAAAGCTGTAGTGTAAACTACATATAAATAACAAAGAATGAGGAATGACTTTTCAGAAGAAATTAGGTCTAACTTGGGTTCTGAAAGACATAAGTGATAAGAGGTTGACCTGGGATGAACGGGAGGGTAGTTCTGGATAGCTTCCCCAAGCAACACATGCAAAGGCAAAAGAGAATGAGGTATGTTTGGGAAATTGTAAACATAATCTATTCTGCTGTAACTCTGTTAAGAGTACTCTGAAGAAAGCTGACATTTTCAAAAATTCTTTTTATAAACACAATTGTGTCATAGAAAACTAGTGTTGGAGACTAGAAAGTTTTAGATTTGTAATAACAAAGCATATTTGAAATTATTTCAAAATAAGAGTAAAATTTTAAAAAGTAATTTTTCATACAGAAACTTAATTATCATTACAAAAAGCATTAGAATTGCTACTCTCCATCTACTCCATTTAACAATGAGCATATTATGTCTTTTATAACTGAAAAAGTAAAAATTAAATCTTAAAACGTAGTATATACAGAATAAGCTTTTAAATAAGTAACCAATTATGTATAATTTTAAATCTAAACACTCAATAGCACAAATATCATTAGTTTGATATAGCTGGGGTATTAGGTTATGAAGGTATATGATTTTGCAGAGAGTAGCAAGAAATAGATGTATATTTTATACTAAGGAATAATTTTTTTTAAAAAGTTCTGAATATAATACAAATCTACTGGTTTATTATAAACAAGAAAATGGCATTATTTTCATATTGGCATATTAATGTATTTAAGTACAATACGTAGCAATAATATCCCAAGCTGCTTTTAGACATCTAACCTTGTCCTTTTTAATTATCAAGTATCACTTAAGCAAATGAAGCATTAATGAATACCCACTTATACTAGAACTTCTTGTATTTAGTTTTATTTATTTGCTTTTAGATACAGGGTCTTGCTCTGTTGCCCAGGCTCAAGTGCAAAGATGTGATCATAGCTTACTGCAGCCTCAAACTTCTGGGCTTAAATTATCCTTCCAGCTGGGCCTTCCAAAGCACTGGGATTATAGGCATGAGCCAACACACACAGCCTGAATTTAGTTTTAAAATGCTGAAAGCTGTGGTTTTTCCCCCCATGTTTTGATATCAATATGTGCAATGAGCTCCTTCAAATGTTACTCATGTTCTACATAAAGCCCTGGAATGTTTCTTTTAGTATTGGTCCCTCTCTCTTAGAAAAAAGAATACAAGTTCCTATTTATGGGCATACATATAATACAAAGCATGCTAGGAAAACTGTAGAACCATGTGTATGTAGGAGGATGATTATAGCGTTCTTATAAAAGGAAAAACATCCAGAAAAGAAATGCTATTAGTCTCATTTAGTTTCATCTGCTACAATATCAATATTGCATCTGGGTAAATTATACAATCCCTGGTCATTCTTTCTGGATGCCTACTTGGCTCCCTCAGACAGCACTGTATGTCCTCTTTCCATGGCAAACTAGTTAGTTCTTTAATGCTACAGCTATATACACAATTAAAGAGTGAAATAACATCTCTGCTGCTAACAGTGTGCCTCTGTCTTTATTAATAAGTACTGTGTTTTTATTTAAGAAGTAGTACATTGGCCTTGAGGAAATTGGATTTCATTAGAATAATGCCCTTTAAAAACACAAACCAAAAAACCAATTATGAATAGATCTCCCAAAAGCCTGGCAAATAGGCAGCTTAGGCTATTGCATAGGCTATGGCTGACACCTACTGGTGTTCTATACTGTTCTCTGCCTTTTTTTTTTT